GTTGATCCCAAGGTCCTGCACACTAATCTCAGCCTCACAATCTGCCTCCCAGGAGAGCCCAGCCTGCAACAACACAGGTGAGCACAGCTATCATACATTATTTGAAAATGAGAAGGTGGGCCGGGCGCGTTGGCTCACACCTGTAATCCCAACACTTTGGGAGGCCGAGGCGGGCGATCACCTGAAGTCAGGAGTTCAAGACCAGCCTGGCCAACATGGTGAAACCCTGTCACTACTAAAAATCCAAAAATTAGCTGGGCATGGTGCCAGTTGCCTATAAATTTAGCTACTACTCAGGAGGCTGAGGCAGGAGAATCGCTTGAACCTGGGAGACAGAGGTTGCAGTGAGCTGAGATCGCACCATTGCACTCCAGCCTAGGCAACACGAGTGAAACTCTGCCAAAAAAAAAAGAAGAAAAGAAAGAAAATGAGATGAGGGGCAGTTCCATAAGAGTGTGGAACATTCAAAATTATTTGATGTAATAACCAAAAAAAATTCAAAGCAGGGTCCCAAACAGGTATTTGTACAGCCATATTCATAACAGCATCACTCACAATAGCCCAGAGGCGAAACACCCCCAGTGTCCATTGATGGATGGATGAATGAATAAATAGAATGTGGTATATCCACACAATGGGATATTGTTCAGCCTTTAAAAGGAAGGCAGCTCTGACACATGCTGCATACGACATGGTTGTACCTTGGGGACATTATGCTAAATGAAATAAGCCAGTCACTAAAGGACAAGTACTATATGACTTCACTTATATGAGTTATCCAGAGCAGTGGTCCTCGACCTCTTGGGCACCAGGGACCGATTGTGTGGAAGACAATTTTTCCATGGACCGGGGGGTGGGGGAGGGTTTCAGATGATTCAGGAGCATTACATTTATTGTGCATTTTATTTATATTATTATTACATTGTACTATATGATGAAATAATTATACAAGTCACCATAATGTAGAATCAGTGAGAGCCCTGAGCTTGTTGGGTTTGTTTTGTTTTGTTTTGTTTTGTTGAGACAGAGTCTTGCTGTGTCGCCCAGGCTGTACTGCAGTGGTGTGATTACAGATGTGAGCCACCACGCCCGACCCACTGAGCTTGTTTTCCTGTCAGTAGATGGTCCCATCTAGGGGTGGTGGGAGACAGTGACCCATCATCAGGCATTAGAGTCTCATAAGGAATGCACAGCCTAGACCCCTTGCATGCGCAGTTCACAATAGGGTTCACGCTCCTATGAGAATCTAAGTCACTGATCTGACAGGAGACAGAGCTCAGGTGGTAGTACAAGTGTTGGGGAGAGGCTGTAAGTACAGATGAGTCTTCCCTCCCTTGCCCAATGCTCACCTCTTGCTGTGTGCCCCATTCCTAACAGGTACTGTACCAGGCCCCGGGGGTTGGGGATCCCTGATCTAGAGTAGTCAAATTCACAGAAACAAAGTAGAATGGTGCTTGCCAGGGAGTGTGGGGAGGAGGGATAGAAGAAAGGAGAGTTGTTTGATGGGTAAACAGTTTCAGTTTTGCAAGATGAAAAGTTCTGGATATTGATTGCACAACATGAATACACCTGATACTACTGAACGGTAAAAGAAAATTAAGATCTGATTTGAAAGAAAGAAATATTGATGCTGCAGGAAGAATTTATGTGAAAACAACAAAAGAGGCCACGTGTGGTGGCTCACACCTGTAATACCAACACCTTGGGAGGCCGAGGAGGGTGGGTCACCTGAGGTCAGGAGTTCGAGAGCAGCCTGGCCAACATGGTGAAACCCTGTGTCTACTAAAAATACAAAAATTAGCCAGGCATGGTGGCAGGCACCTGTGATCCCAGCTACTTGGGAGACTGAGGCAGGAGAATCACTTGAACCTGGGAGGCGGAGGTTCCAGTGAGCCAAGATGGTGCCGCTGCACTCCAGCTTGGGCGACAGAGTGAGACTGGGTCTCAAAAAATAAAAATAACAAAATAACTAAAGAATATATTGGCACACAATCTGGATGATCCAATTTTTGACAAGGTAATGACTAGAGTTCCAAAAGAAAATTCACAACTCTCTGTGATAATGTTTGGAAGAACATTCATGCAGAACATGAAGATTGGAAGCAAGGGATGACCCACGTTATTTAGGGAATAATATCTTAAAACGCATTACAATTATGACTTGTTTGATTAATGGAATCATTTCAAATAAGGCAAGAAATACTAAATACTTCTCAACTATTTGGGCCACAAAGCCTAGAAGCTACCCACATTTAGTAAACTGCTTATGAAAATCAAATATGGAAAAAAATTTTTGAGAGGCAAGATGTTTGCAAACATGATTGGAAATGGAACCATGCGTGGAAACTGATGGAATGCAACAGAAGATCCTTGAGAACATTCTAAGGCATTCAAAATTCTAAGGCATTCACAGACTCGTGAACACTCACACACCAGGCAGATGAGGACAGCCAGACGGATGCTCCCAAAAGGTACGGGGAGCTGACACTTCAAAGTCTCCAAAAGCACCTGAAGGATACCAGAATCAAAAGTGCACACAGCACTCACATACTCACACACTCACCAGACTGGTTGGCCTACCCTGTAAGCCTCAATCCTTGAAACTGAAAACTGCTGTGAAGACCTCCAATGCCTTCACCTTCCACTGGGACTTCAGAAAACCCATCCTCCTTCCTGGCCAGACTCCACTCTCCAGAGACACTGAGCACAACCTTGCCCTGGTCTGGATAGACCCCCACTGAGAGCCTGGGGCAGAAACTGGAGAATCAGGAAGGAAGAATAATTTGGATGCAAAACAGGTTCTGGGAAGTGAGGCCTGATGGGAAGAGGAGGGATTTGGCAAGATAAGGGTAAGGGAGGACATAGCCTGGTGAGTGTTCACAGTGGCTGCTGTCAAAGAAAAATTGCACAGGCAAGGGTGACTTTATTCAAGGTGATTGCAATAGGGAAAGAGACTGAACTCAACTCCACTGAAACAAACATGCTAGGGTGTTTAAGCCCTAGGTAAGTTAATGGAAAAGTACTGGAGGACAATAGGGGGAGGTGGGTCAATGGGATGTGTCCATCACATGGAGTTATTCCTGAGTCTGAAAACGTTTTTCTCTGTGATTGGGCCATCTGGGTTTCCTGATTGTCAGTTATCAAAGTGAGGCTCCTACCCTCGCACAGAGACTGGGAGATAGGAGTGCTATCTCCCTTGATGATTTCAAAGGGATAATTCCCAGGTCCTTGAAAAAGGCATTCCTGGGTTGTAACACTGGCAAGAGACCAGGAGATTTGCCTGCATTTCAAATGGGCAGAGAAGGTCAGGCGCAGTGGCTCACATCTGTAATCCCAACAATTCGGGAGGCTGAGGCGGACAGATCACTTGAGGTCAGGAGTTCGCGACCAGCCTGGTCAACATGCTGAAACCCCGTCTCTACTAAAAATACAAAAATTAGCTAGGCATGGTGGCACATGCCTGTTATCCCAGCTATTTGGGAGGCTGAGGCAGGAAAATCACTTGAACCCGGGAGGCAGAACTTGCAGTGAGCTGAGATCACGCCACTGCCTAGCCTGGGCAACAGAGTGAGAGTCCGTCTCAAAAAAAAAAAAAAAAAGTGGGGTGTGGGGGTGTAGGGGGAGCAAAGAAAGAATCTGCAATTATATTTGGCCCTCTGTGTCCATGGGGTTTTGCATCCATAGGTTCTACCTCCACGGATTCAGTCAACTTTGGATAAAAAATATTTTGAAAACAAAAAAACAAAAAAAACAAAGAAATAGAAAACAATATGACATAACGATTTGCATATTGTTTATATTATATTAGCTATTATAAGTAATCTAGAGATAATTTAAAGTATACAGGAGGGTGCACGTAGCTTGTATGAAAATACTACACCATTTTATATCAGGGACTTGAACATTCTTGGATTTTGTTATCAATAAGAGCTCTGGAACCAATACCCTGCAGATACCGAGGGATGACTGCACAAGTTTTCTAAAGTAAGTGCTCTACAAAAAGTGTGATCTGGGGCCGAGAGTCAGGAAGAAACCTGTCTAAAGTTTAGTCGATCTGAGGAGACTGTTAAGGCTCTTTTGGTCACCAGCGTTACGTGGACTCTGCCATCCATATGTGGGTCTGAGATTCTAGGTGTCTGCACATGACTGGTGCCTGCTCTGTGGCTAGTGGATGAGCCCGATCCAGCAGGCAGCATCTCTAAGCAGCAAGAAGTGAGACAAACCAGCAGATGCTAACCTGGGGTCTCTGCTCCAGCACCACCCACCTGCTGGGGCCACCTCTGGACCTCCTCATCTGCTGAGTGTCTGAGCATCCACATGGGTCTGTCTGTGTCCTAGGGGGGCAGTGTCCCTCTGGTTGTCTGCTGTATCTCCGTCTTCCTGATTTCATTCATTTAATGTTTCTGAAACACCTTGGGGGTATGTCATGTCTATCGCGGTGACCCTCTTCACCTCTGGTTTGTCTGTGTGACTACACAGTCACATCTGTTCACACCAGGCTGTCTGTCTTTCTGTATCTCATGTGTAATTGCTTCCTCAAAGGCGCTCTCTCTCTCTCTCTCTGTTTCTCTTTTGTGTCTGTCTCTCCCTGCTTGTCTCTTGGTGCCTTTCTGTTTGTTTGTGTCTTCATTCATTGATTCATTCGCTCACTCATACAAAAATATCTCAGACATTCCTGGAGGCCCCCGAAGAGTTCACAGCCTGTTAGGGGAGACAGACGCTAGCCCAGCCTAGTTTGATCAGGGCTGGGAGACAGGGAGGTGTTGGAGGCTGAGGATGTGTGGATGAGTGGGGAGATGGGGGTCAGAGAAGTCTTAGAGGAGGGGACGATGAATGTATCTTTGGGTATGGAGAAGTGGCCCCAGGATTGGAAGCTGTGTGGGTGGTGTGTGTTGGGGTAGGGTGAGGGAAGGAAAGTCAAAAGGCCATATATGCCACCCTCAGATTAGAGCAGGGTGTTGGGAGGGGTGTAGGAAGAAGGCCAGCAAGACACCAATCATTCAAAATTAAGGGTTCCAGACTTCTAGTTCCCTCCTCCCTCAGACCCAGAAGTGCAGGCCTCCAGCAACTGAGGATCACCCTGGTTCCATCACGATTACCTAGGAAGAGACCCGCCCACATAGGGAGGGTGGGACGGAGAAATACTGGCCAGGCAGGGTGGCCGGGATGCTTAGGACTCAGTAGGGAGAACCAGCCAGGCAGCACATCACAGCGGGAGGAGCTGTCCCAGGTGGCGCAGCTCAGCAATGGCAATGGGGGTCCCCAGAGTCATTCTCCTCTGCCTCTTTGGGGCTGCACTCTGCCTGACAGGTACCCAAACTTCTGAATCCAGTAGTGAGAAGGGGCTGGGGGCCTGGACTCCTGGGTCTGAGGGAGGAGGGAGCTGGGGGTCTGGACTTCTGGGTCTGAGAGAGGAGGGGGCTGGGGGCCTGGACTCCTGGGTCTGAGGGAGGAGGGGGCTGGGGGTCTGGACTCCTGGGTCTGAGGGAGGAGGGGCTGGGGGCCTGGACTCCTGGGTCTGAGGGAGGAGGGGCTGGGGGCCTGGACTCCTGGGTCTGAGGGAGGAGGGGCTGGGGGCCTGGACTCCTGGGTCTGAGGGAGGAGGGGGCTGGGGGCTGGGGACCTGGACTCCTGGGTCTGAGGGAGGAGGGGCTGGGGGCCTGGACTCCTGGGTCTGAGGGAGGAGGGGACTGGGGGCCTGGACTCCTGGGTGTTGGTGGGCAGGAGCCTCGAGACTATGTCATCTTCATTTCTCTTCCCTGCCTTCCTTCTTCTCCCATCAGTCATTTTTCCTGGTGTCTCTCTTCCCACCATCCCAGCCTTTCTTCTCTTCCTTGCCCAAGCCCCAATTCAAAGGTATTTCCAGGGAGCCCTTAGGACTCTTTCCAGAACTGGCAGGAACCCTGGCTTCATCTTCCGGCAACCTCTACCCCATTGTGGGCTAGGAAGGAACATACTCATTTCAGAATGGAAGTGGTTACAAAGACAGGGAATTAGAAAGGTAGAAAGGAGGCTATTCCTGCACACAACTAAATCTGTGTGTTTCTGCTCCTCAATGGGAGAGCGTTTGATTTCTGTATGTGTCCACGTGCAGCACGTCCTGTGGGTCCCTGTGCTTGTGTGTATTTCTCTGTATAGGTTTCAAAGTCTTAGTCTGAGCAAACGCTTTTGTGGGTCTGTCTCTGAGTTTGCTTTCTTTGTAAAAGAGATGCGTGTGTAATTTTGTGTATCTGGGTCTGTGTTTATGTATTTCTGTGATCTGTAGGCCTATATTTATCTCTATGTCTATGTGCTCAGTATTTCTGTGATTTGGGACCTCTCTGGGTATGGTTTTCCGTGCATCTGGTCCCTCTCTGTGTTGATATGATTATCACACATGCACAAGCATCCTCACAGACACACGCTTTGGTGTCTGTGTGATTTTCCATGTGTGAAGTGCTGTGCCTTAGTTAGGGGGGTTTATATTGCAGGGTCTAGGGGCATACTTGTTTCATGTGGGAATGTAAAACTCTGCCTGGGTACATTCAGGATATTCTGTGTATACTTGTGAGACCTGGATGAACCTGTGTATATGTTGTTATTGTGTGTTTATGTCAGTGTTGTGTGTTGCTGGGGCCGATGCGTGGGTTTGCAGGGCACTACAGGACCACATGTCACTCTGCCTGTCCTGGAGTGCACGTTGCCCGTCAGGGGTCACTTACTGTGCTGTCCACATTGTGAGTTAAGTGTGGGGAAGGATGGGCAGAGTGAGAATGAATCACTTTTCCTTCCTATTCTAAATCATAGGTAGGGAGCGGGCTTCCTGGAGGAGGGTGGAGACCTGGAGCGGCCTGGAGGGAAAAAAACTGGACTGTCAGCTGCAGAGAAGTCATTACTCTGCCATGAGACAGACACAGCTGTGACCAGCTGCAATAGCAGCACCTGGTCTCTCAAGGCGCGGCTTCCCTGGGAACAGAGGGGCCAGGCCCATGTGCCTGTCATTGGCTGGGTGGAGCTCTGAGTTCCTGGGACAGGCTCACAGTGGCCCTACTGACTCCGCTATGTCCTTCTCCCCAGGGTCCCAAGGCCTACAGTGCTACAGTTTTGAGCACACCTACTTTGGCCCATTTGACCTCAGGGCCATGAAGCTGCCCAGCATCTCCTGTCCTCACGAGTGTTTTGAGGCTATCCTGTCTCTGGACACCGGTGAGGAGCGGGAACAGGGGGACCTGGATGAGAGATTAGGGAAGAAAAAGGGGGGAGAAGGGAGAAGAAAGGGAGGGGAATTGGGCAGAAGATGAAAAGATAAAGATAGAAAGATGGGGAGGGAGAGGAAGAAGAGGAGAAAGAGAAAGAAAAGGGTGGATGAAGGCTGGGGCGGTGGCTCAGGCCTGTAATCCTAGCACTTTGGGAGGCAAGCTGCTGGATCACGAAGTCAGGAGTTTGAGACCAGCCTAGCCAACAAGACGAAACCCCGTCTCTACTAAAAACACAAAAAAAGTAGCGGGGCGTGGTGGCGGGCGCCTGAAATCCCAGCTACTCGGGAGGCTAAGGCATGAGAATCGCTTGAACTCGGGAGGCGGAGGTTGCAGTGAGCCGAGATCGCGCCACCGCACTCCAGCCTGGCGACAGAGCGAGACTCCGTCCCCTGCCCCACAAAAGAAAAAGTGGATGAGGGACGAGAGGAGCAGTGTGGGGAGGAGACAATGGGGAAGCAAGGAAGAGAAGGTGGGAGAGGAACACAGGAAGGAAGAGCAGAGGAAGAGAAGAACTCGGGGAAAAGGTCTGGGGGTGAGAGGAAGCAGGGAAGGAGGGAGAGGAGGAGGTGTAGCTGAAAGCAAAAGGGTAGAGGGAGGAGGAAGAACGCTGAGACTGGATAAAGAAAGGTTTATCCAGTTTACTGGTTTCGGGAAGCAGAGCACAAGCCCCGATCCCGCCCCCAGGGTATCGCGCGCCGGTGACCCTGGTGCGGAAGGGCTGCTGGACCGGGCCGCCTGCCGGCCAGACGCAATCGAACCCCGACGCGCTGCCGCCAGACTACTCGGTGGTGCGCGGCTGCACAACTGATAAGTGCAACGCCCACCTCATGACTCATGACGCCCTCCCCAACCTGAGCCAAGGTACGCGGGAGAGCGGGGCTGGGCTCTGGGCGGGACGATAAGAGGACTGGCAGCCTCGGGGAAGGCGTGGCCTCCGCTGAGCGCCTTCTCTTGGCGCGCTAGGATCCCAGCCCCCTAGACGTGCTAAGGCACGGGCTCTGGTGCAGTGCGCAGCCCGCACGACTGTGCCAGGGTACCACTGCCTGAGTGTGCGTCTACCCTCTCTTGCCAGCACCCGAACCACCGACGCTCAGCGGCGCCGAGTGCTACGCCTGTATTGGGGTCCATCAGGATGACTGCGCTATCAGCAAGTCCCGTAGGGTCCAGTGTCACCAGGACCAGACCGCCTGCTTCCAGGGCAATGGCAGAATGACAGTCGGTGAGGGGCTGAAAGGGTGGTAGGGCAACCATGAGGGTAGTGACACCAGACAGGCCCAACAGGGAGACATGGCCCTGCTCTGAGGTAGGAGGCAAGGTCCTGGTCTGAGGGAGGAGGCATGACCGTGGTCTGAGGGAAAAGGTTTGGCCCTGGTCTGAGGGAGGAGGCATAACCCTGATCTGAGGGAGGAGGCATGACTCTGGTCTGAGGGAGAAGGCCATGCCCTGATCTGAGGGAGGAAGCATAACCCTGGTCTGAGGGAGGAGGCATGGCCCTGGGGTCTGAGGGAAGAGGCATGGCCCTGGTCTGAGGGAGGAGGCCTGGCCCTGGTCTTAGGAGGAAAACCTGAAGCAAGTCTGAGGACCCAGGCATGGCCCTAGCCATCAAGGTGGAAGTTCAGGTGCAGCTGTCTCCCTCAGTTCTGACGGCTCCTCACTGCTCCGCCCACCCCCAGGCAATTTCTCAGTCCCTGTGTACATCAGAACCTGCCACCGGCCCTCCTGCACCACTGAGGGCACCACCAGCCCCTGGACAGCCATCGACCTCCAGGGCTCCTGCTGTGAGGGGCACCTCTGCAACAGGAAATCCATGATCCAGCCCTTCAACAGTGCTTTGGCCACCACCTCTCCCCGAGCAGTACAGGTCCTGGCCCTGCTCCTCCCGGTCCTCCTGCTGGTGGGGCTCTCATAGACTGCCCCTCCAGGATGCTGGGGACAGGGTTCACATACCTCCTTCTTGCTGCTTCAGCCCCTATCACATAGCTCACTGGAAAATGATGTTAAAATAAGAATTACACTCGTGTCCCTCTGGCCTTTCATCTCTCCCTCCCTCGTGCCCCCCAACCTGGTCAACAGGACTGGAACAAACTGGACACAGTCACCAGCATCCCAGGGGAGGGCAAAACAGCCATGTCCTGCCCTGATGAAGAGCAATTCTCATCACAGCTGTTACTTACTGAGCACCAGGCACCCCGTAACACGGCTTCCTGTGCTCTCCCTCCAGAGCTTGTCGCAGCTCTAGGAGGGAGCTATACAATGATGTCTTTATTAGTGTCATCATGAGAGGCCCAATAAGCAGTATGCCCTCACAGTTAGTAGGCCAGCCTCTGGAGGTAAGCTGCATGGGTTCAAATCCCAGCTCCACCGTTCATCCCACAGAGACCATGGACGAGTCACTTGAACTCTCTGTGCCAATATTTTCTTACCTATAAGGTGGAGGTGAAAATAAACTCTATAAATGACGACAAGAACTGCTTCACAGTAGTTGTGGTGAGAATTCAACAAGATTAACCTTTAGTACTTGGGACACAGCAGTGGCCCAGTATAAGTGGGCTACTGTCTTAAGCTCTAAGTCACAGGTCAACAAACTGAAAGGCAAAAGCACTTGGTTGAGCTTGTGTATCTAGTGAGTAGAGAATCAAGAACCAGATTCCCAGCCCCATGAACTGCTAAGCAACACCACCTCCCAAACACATGAGTGCCAATTAACTTCACAGAAAAATACAAAAGGCAAAGTTCAGCGAGGTGAAATTCTCCAAGCTGTAAAGATCAGGGAAGACTTCCTGGAGGAATTAACCCTTGAGCAAAATCCTAAAGGATCAATAGTAGCTGGCAAAAAGAAGCAAGAGGAAGGGCATTCTAGCTAGAGGAGACAGCCTGGACAAAGGTCTGAGGGAGGAAGGAACACAGGGTGTACAGGACACTTTCATAAGTACCTGAACTTCATAGAAATGGGATCCTTCAGCATGTTCTCTGTGCACATGCTTTACTATGTTCTTTCACATGCTTTTTGCCACTTGATCTTTCCAGCAACTCAGTGAGGGAAGCAAAAAAGTAAGTTGCATCCTGCTATTGTCTATATGTTTGTACTCCTCAAAATTCATCTTTTGAATCCTATTCACCAAAGTGATGTTACTGGGAGGTGGTGAGATCATGAAGGTGGAGCCCCGATGAATAGGATTAGTGCCCTGATAAAAGAAGCCCCAGAGAGCTGCCTTGCCCCTTCCCCCACATGAAAACACAGCCAGCAGGTGCCTATAAGCAAGAAAGTGGGTTCTCACCAGCCATTGAATCTGTTGGTGCATTGATTGTAGACTTCTCAGACTCCCGGAGCTGTGAGACATAAATTTCTGTTATGTGTAACCCATACAGTCTATGGTATTTTGTTACAGCAGCCTGAAGGGACTAAGACACATTCCTGTTTTACAGACAAGATGAGCAAAGCACAATGAGAAAGCAATTTTCAGAGTAAGTGCATAGCAAGAGTAACCTCCCGTATCTTCTCGCTCCATGTCAGCAAGCAGCCTTGGGGGAAGGTGGGCAATTCAGAAATTCTCTGCTCCTATGCTTCTGTAAGGCCAACATGACAAGGGCTTCAGTTGTCTTTACACCCTGACATACAAGGGGAAGCTGAATGTCTTCATTCATCCTTCACATTTACTGAGCACCTACTATGTGCAAGGCGCTGTTCCAGTTGTTGGGCATACAGCAGGGAACAAAAGTGGCAAAAATTCCCACCTTTAAGAAGCAGCCTTTTTGATGGGCTAGCAATCCAAAGCAAACTTTGGATTTTGTTTGTGTATTTATTAGAGACAGGGTCTCGCTCTATCCCAGGCTGGAGTGCAGTGGCACAATCAGCTCACTGAGGCCTCAATCTCCCAGGCTCAAGCAATCCTCCCACCTCAGCCTCCCTAGTAGCTGGAACTACAGGTGTGTGCCACCACACCCTGCTAATTTTTGTATTTTTTATAGAGATGGAGCCCCACTATGCTGCCCAGCCTAGTCTCAAATCCCTGGGCCCAAGCGATCCTCCTGTCTCAGCCTCCCAAAGTGCTGAGATTACAGGTGTGAGCCACCACTATGCCCAGCCAGATTTTGGATTTTATTGCGAATGTGGTCTGAAGTTGGGATGGCCAGTTTGATGTGTCAACTTACCTAGGTGACAGTTTCAGTTGTTCAATCAAACGCTAATCAGTGGGTTGATGTGAGGGTATTTTGTAGATGTGATTAAAGTTCATAATCAGTTGACTTTGAGGAAGGGAGATTGTTCTAGACAATTTGAGTAGGCCTGACTCAATCAGCTGAAAGGTCTTCAGAGCAGAGATGAGGCTTCTCTGAGGAAGAAAAAAAAAAACTGCACCTATGGACAGCTGCTTCAGCCCATGTCTGAGATTCCAGCTTGCTCCTTCTGACCTGCCCAGCCAGGCCACATAAGCAATTCTTTGCAATAAGTATTGTATTATAGATCGTCTACTGGTTCTGTTTTTCTGGTTAATCCAAGGCTAATACAGAATGCGTTGGAGCCAGTATGGTGGCTCACGCCTGTCATCCAGCACTTTGGGAGGCTGAGGTGGGCAGATGACCTGAGGTCAGGAGTTCAAGACTAGCCTGGCCAATATGGTGAAATGCCATCTCTACTAAAAATACAAAAATTAGCCGGGCATGGTGGCATGGACCTGTAGTCCCAGCTACTCAGGAGGCTGAGGCAGGAGAGTCGCTTGAACCCAGGAGGCAAAGGTTGCAGTGAGCTGAGATCATGCCATTACATTCCATCCTGGGCAACAGACTGAAACTCTGTCTCCAAAAAAAAAAAAAAAAAGTGTTGGAGAAGTAGAAGACTGCCATAATCATATATAGGTGTGTATATATATGTTGTATGTGTATATAATTACATGTAATATATATGATATAACATTTTCATTGAGGCATAAAATATATACAATAAAATGCATAAATTGCAATTTTTCCATATGTACATACCTGAATAACCTCCACCTAGGTCAAGATGTAGAAAATTTCCAGCCTATGTCCCCGGAGCCTCCCTCATAGCCCTTCAGAGTCAGTTTCCCACCCCAAAGATAACCATGACTCCAACTTCTATCATAGATCAATATTGCTTATTTTAAACTTCATAAGAATGGAATCTACAGCATGTGCTTTTGTGTACGTGCTTTACATTTTAAACGCTTCCCTGTGACAAGAATAGAAGCTAGACCTGTGAGGTGGCTACTGCACCAGTCTAGGCAAGAGATGATGTACCCATGATGGCAGAGGTAGTGCAAGGAGTTGGAAAATGAATAGATTTTTAATTTAGCTGCTCCTTAACAGGTTGCAAGGAATAGATTTTATTAGTGGAGAAGACAGGACTTGCTGATATATTGGTCAAGGAATACTTGAGATGACTCCTAGGTTTCAGCCTGAGGAACAGGGTAAATAGGTTTCAGCCTGAGGAATAGGGTGGAAAAAAAGGAATTGTTCAGCTTCATGGTAATCTTTTTTTTTTCTTTTCTTTTTTTTTAGACAGTCTTGCTCTGTCACCCAGGCTGGAGTGCAGTGGCACGATCTCAGCTCACTGCAAACTCCGCCTCCCAGGTTCAAGCGATTTTCTGCCACAGCTTCCTGAGCAGCTGGGACTACAGGCATGAGCCACCGCGGCTAGCTAATTTTTGTGTGTGTGTTTTTAGTAGAGATGGGGTTTCACCATGTTGGCCAGGCTGGTCTCAAACTCCTGACCTCAAGTGATCCGCCTGCCTCAGCCTCCCAAAGTGCTGGGATTACAGGTGTGAGCCATCACGCCCGGCCAGCTTCTTTATAATCTTATGGTGCCACAGTAATGATAAAGGCAGTCCGACATTGGCCGAGGGGTTGTTAGGCAGTGTATGACTGTACATCTGAGACAGAAGATTCTCCCTGAGGTGTGGTGGCCAAGGACTCCTGTGAGATGCAATACATGAGCAATTGGCAGTTCTTTGCCATGAGAGTGATTCAAAAACTTCTGAAAGGTTATACTTGATAGCTCTCACTAAGCAGGACAGGGGTGCACCGACTGTCTTAGAACTCACAGTATGGGGAGTCCAAGTGAAAATGTGGACTCAGCTATGTAGCTGCTTGGGTATCGCCACCCAGATGCCTTCGTGAGTGCTTAGCAGAGAGGGAGACGCTTTTCAAAAGTAATTATGGTTTTGTACCATAAATTTTATTTTATTTATTTATTTTTTAGATGGAGTCTTGCTCTGTTGCCCAGGCTGGAGTGCAGTGGCATGATCTCAACTCACTGCAACCTCTGCCTCCTGGGTTCAAGCAATTCTCCTGTCCCAGCCTCCTGAGTAGCTGGGACTGTACAGGTGCATGCCACCATATCCGGGTAATTTTTGTATTTTTAGTAGAAATAGGGGCAGGTGCTTTCACCATATTGGTCAGCTGGTCTCAAACTCCTGACCTCAGTTGATCCACCTTCCTCAACCTCCCAAAGTGCTGAGATTACAGGCGTGAGCCACCATGCCCAGCCTGGACCGTGAATTCTAAATCATTATAACTAGGCTCACACACATCTTTAAGAATCAAAATAGGAACCATTACAATCAACACATTTTTGCCAACGAGAATTAAGTTTTTTGATTCCTGTAGTATAAAAATACGTGCTTCAGGATTCAACAAACTCTGCTTCATGACCATTTTGAACTCAAATAAGAAAGTCTCTCTAATTTGCTTTTTGTCTAATATCATTTCCATAGTCTAAAATAAACATAAAATAAACGTCAAGTAATAAGTCATTAGCAAAAAAACGTAAAGCAAGAAATGTCCATTAAAATGATGTATAACAGACTGGATATGGTGGCTCACAACTATAATCCCAGCACTTTGGGAGGTCAAAGTGGGCAGATCGCTTGAAGCCAGGAATTCGAGACCAGCCTGGCCAACATGGTGAAACCCTGTCCCTACTAAAAATACAAAAATTAGCCAGGCATGGTGGTGCACACTGTAATCCCAACTACTCGGGAGGCTGAGGCAGGAGAATCGCCTGAATCTGGAAGGCGGAGGTTGCAGTAAGCCTAGATTGTGCCACTGCTCTCCAGCCTGGGTGACAGAGCAAGACTCTGCCTAAAAAAAAAAAAAAGATGTATAACATAACCACATTTATTTAAGAATGTATTCCAATATCAAATGGCAAATTCCAACAATGCAAAAATCGCCATTACTTTTGCACTCGCCTAATAAAAGCTTCACCTTCTGGAAACAGTGACTCACAACTGTAATCCCAGCAATTTGGGAGGCAGAGGCGGAAGGATTGCTTTAGCCCAGGAGTGCGAGACCAGCCTGGCTGTCTCTCTAAAAAGTTTAATTAAAAGTAAAATAAAAAGCTGCATTTGTTAGCAAGGATGTGGAACTACTGGGATTCTCACATCCAGGTAGTATGTGTGTTTTAAAATAGAACAACCCCTTGCAAAAACTATCTTTCAGTACCTACCTAAACCAGACTCTGCACCCACACTGTGACCCAGCATTTCCACTCCTGGATAGAGCTCTCCATCATAAATTAGTGTATACATTTTCTCAAAAGACATGTACTAGCAGAACAATTTATAATAGTCACAAAATAGAAACAGCCCAAGTACCTATCAACAGTAGGGTGGATATATCAATTTGTGGCCTATTTGCATAATAGAGTACTACACAGCAATGAGAATGAACACTTTACAAGTGTATGCAATAGCATGGAGGAATCTCACAAACGTTGAGCAAAAGAATAAAGACACACAAGAGAACATTCTGTATGTTTCCATTTAAGCAAATCACAACAGTTGGCAAAACTAAATATGCAATCAGAAGTCACAGTAGTGACTATTTGGGGGCGGTTGCAACTGGAAGAGGGGTAAAGGAGTATCTAGGAGCCTGACCATTGTGTTTATTCATCTGAGCATTCATTGAGCTGTTCACTTGGCATTTATGCTCTTTCTATATGCATATGATTTCCAATGCACATTTTAAAGATCTTAAAATACTTTCTTGGGGGTAGAAAAGGCAAATGGAACCAAGGCGTGGTGGCTCATGCCTGTAATCCCAGCACT